ATGTATGTGTTGCTTCTTTGGGGCTTGTTTTCATAGACCTGGTTGCTTATTTCTCTCAAATCTGGCAACAGAGTGGGCGCAGTGTCTAATTGTAGCAGTAAGCTAACGAGTACTGAAAGCTTTATTTTGTTTTGATCCAATGCTGCACAACTGAACTGATCCAATGCTGCTGTGAAAGAAAGAAGCTATATCCATGTTGGATAGAATATCCAATTTAAATAAAAAAATAACCTTAAGGGACAACTTGAATGCTTTTTTTTCTCTTAATGCATTGCATAAAGATCGGATCGGGAAAAATCGGTATCGGCAAATTGTCAAAATCAAATGATCGGAATCGGATCGGGAGCAAAAAAAGGTGATCGGGACATCCCTACCTAAAACGCACGGATCTGGGGTTGTTTTTTGGGAACAAAAGTTGTTTATAGATGCTCCTGTTGCATGGGAATCCAACAAGTCAAGGTCAAGCATCAGTTGTTTTAGGCTATAACGGCCAGAGTGCAGCTTATATTACAGGGACTGAAATCTGAATCTCCCACAACAGAATCTCAGACATTGCTTGCTTGAAATCGACCGGCGTAATGCTTTATTGTTTAAGTAGGTAATGTCTCACCACTGGCGCATCTCCCTTGGCCATGTCCTCCTCAAACTCTGCTTCTCTCGCCTGTAAATACAAACACATGGTCATTTAGATTGAACAAAGAAGAAGCAACATGGTGTTCAGCAGTCTGAAAAACTGTCAAATCCTCCTCACCATCTCTCGCTCCTCCTCCAGGATGATGGGCTCCCTCGTCCTCTCCCACAGACGCAGGGATTTGTCGTGAGATGCCGACACGATGTGGTCTCCGTTTGGGCTGATGGTCAGACACCAAACCTCCCGATGATGGCCCTGTAACGCCAAGAGAAAGGTAAAGGAAATGTCCAGCTGGAGGGAAAACATAGCACCTACCAACCACCAGGGGACTTCTTCACAATCACTAGTAAATATGAAGGCTTATGAGCAAAGCGTGACCTCTAGAGTCTGGACCAGCTGAAACTTGTCGGCGTCCCACTGCTTGATCTTCTTGTCCTTCCCTGCTGTGAAGAACAGGTGAGTCTTGGGGAGAAACTGGAGGAACATGACGCTGTGGAGAAGAGAGAGACAGTCAGCCAGGTGGAAAGGTGAAATAGAGAATAAATATTTTAGAGAATAAAAAGAGAGTAGGACTGGTGGAAAGAAAACATGTGTAAAAAAAAGATCAAAGGATTGAAAGAAAGACAGAAACTGAAGGTTGTAATAAAAACACAGAAAGGCTGAAAATAAAGATAAATGATGAAGTGTGAAGTCCCAGAACAGAGTTAACAAGACTCTGAAGACAACAGATGAAGTCACAGAACAGAGTTAACAAGACTCAAAAGCCTAGAACATTAATTCACCACTACATCAAAAACCGTTCCAAAGAACACATGTTTTGGGTGTGTGTTCACGGGCGTTACCTGTCGTCGTGAGCAAACATAGAGCGGTGACAGTCTCCGAAGTCCAAACCCCAGATTTTCACGTTCCTGTCTGCGGAGCCCGTGGCGATTAGTGTGTTGTCCTTGTTAACAGAAACACGAAGGTTGGTTAGGAACAAGTCAAGTCCACAAATTGATGCCATGATAGTCATAAACAAGTTGAGACCAATATCAAAAACAATAAACTATTAACAATCATCAATGGCTGCACAAATGTGGAATTCTTAACGGGGACATATCATTGAAAACAACATGTTTCCCTGCTTGTGCCCATGTGTTTGGGAATCTGGAGTGACTCCTTTATGACTGTGGACTAAAAACAGCTGATGGTTAAAGGTCCCATGTCATGCTTTTCCGGTTATTACCCGTCCCCTTCTGTGTTATGAAGGTTTTTATGCATGTAAACGGTCTGCAGAGTCAAAACCCTCAAAGTACACCCTGTAGCGAGTAAAACTCTAACACAGAAAATACCTCCCCAAAACGCCTCGTTGGAGATACGTCACTGTCCATTTGATTCTTCCGGGTAACTCATGATGTCATGCGTTGACCCGGAACCAAATGGACCAATCCGTGGAGCCGTTACGTTAAGCCCCCGCTGATTGGTCCAAATTGACCAATCCACGGACTTCCTCACACACACACACTCAGTGCAGGCAGCTCTGCTGATTTCTCCTCCCTGGCTGCAGGCTGATAACAGACAGTTGGGATCGCGGCGAAATTCTCTCTGCAGACCCATTCTCTCTGCAGACCCATTCTCACAGCGTATATCAACCTTTTTCTTACTCAATATCAAGCCACACTTATTGTTTTTACTTCGGCTGTGACTTTGTGTGTGCTCAGCGTGAGTTTGGCTGTGTTTCGCTGTGTACCGCTAAACAAGGAAACCACACCTCCACGGAGCTCAGCGCGATTCACAACGTCCCGACCAATCAGAGCACACTGTGCTCACAGGGAGGGTGGGGGCTGGAGCTACTGGAGCTACAACGAGCCGTTAAAGGCAGAGAGTGAAATTCAGTGAATACACGTAGTTTACAGAGATGCTGTATGAGAAACCAAAGTGATTTTGGAAAATTGCACAATATAAATCTATTCTAGTAGACCTCAACAATGGAATTATGATCAGTGGAAATGGCCACGACATGGGACCTTTAACACTTTCTAAATCTTGTAGTACTCACATGTGAGATGTCCAGACAGAGTACAGGCAGCTTGTGTCCATACAGAGAC